TCACCACTATAAACTTCCCTCTGAGGGCTGTTTTCAGTGCCTCCCACACATTCCTACGTTGTATTTATATTTTCATTTTTGTTTGTAGATACTGTTTAATTTCTTCTTTAATTTCATCTGGATCCATTGGTTGTTCAGGAGACTGTTATTTAATATCCATGCATTTAAGGAATTTTGTGGTTCCTTTTCTCATTAATTTCCAATTTCATTGCACTGTGGTCAAATAGTATGCATGGGATAATTTCAATTCCTTTGCATTTACTTAAGTATGTTCTGTGAGATAGTATGTTGTCTATTTTAGAGAGCTTCCCATGTACAGCTGAGAAGAATGTATATTCTGATGTTGTGGGGTAGACCACCATGTAAACATCTACTAAGTCCATTTGTTCACAAGTTTTGTTCAGTTCTGTTATTTCTTTCTGAATTTTTTGTCCTATTGACCTCTTTGAGTCAGTGGGGTGTTAAGGTCCCCCACTACAATAGTGTTATTAGTTATTTGGTTTTTTATGTCTATTAAGGTTTGTCTTATATAGTTGTGTGCTCCCCTATTGGGTGCATACATATTTATGATTATTATCTCTTCCTCTTGAAATCTTCCCCTCACAAGTGTGTTGTGACCTTATTTATCTCTTTTGATCATTGTTGGTTTGAAGTTCACATTGTCTGCAATCACATAAGCTACCCCTGCCTTTTTCTGGGTTCCTGTCACATGGAGAATTGTTTTCCAACCTTTGACTTTCAATCTATGAATTTCCTTTAGAGTTAAATATTTTTCTTGTACACAGTATATTGTTGTATTTTGTTTTTTGATCCACTCTGTCAGTCTGCTTCTTTTGATTGGTGAATTGAGGCCATTTACCTTAATGGTTATGACTGTTAAGTTTTGGCTTGTCTTTGTCATGTTATTTACTTACTGTTGTTTTCCTACTTTTACTCTCTGTTTAGTTGCTTTCTCTGCTAAGTGGTTCCTTTCTATTGCTGTTCTTGAAGTTGTAGTCATTTTTATGTCTCTCTAGAAGATCTTTTAGTGCTCTTTGTAGTGTTGGTTTGGTGCTCATGAAGTTCCTCAATTGTTCTTTGTCATGGAAGTATTTTATTTCTCCATTAAATTTGAAGGATAGTTTACCAGGATACATCAGTCTGTGTTGGAAGTTGTTTTGTTTTAGGACCTATAATATTTCACTCTTATTTGATGCTTTGTGTTGAAAAATCTATGAATCTGAGGGCTTTCCTTTATATATGGTCTGTTTCTTTTGTCTAACAGATTTTAATATTCTATTCTTTGGCTGGATTACCAGGATCTTGATTATTATATGTCTGGGTATAGTTTTATTTTGGTTATGGCTTGTTAGAGCTCTATATGCCTCACTTACTTGTATAGCAGGTTCTTTTTCCATACTTAGGAAATTTTCTTCTATTACTTCTGCAAATAGTCTTATGTCATTTGCGTTGACTCCTGCTGTTTCATTGACACCTGCTAGTCTTACATTGTTTCTCTTTGCATCATTTTGCAGCTGTTGAAATGTTATTTCCTGCTTCTTTGTAATTTTTAAGAGATCTTTCCTTTCACAATCCTTAGCTGCAATGCTGTCTTCAAGATCTGAAAGTGTGTCTTCAGCTTAATTCAAGCATTTTTGCCAGCTTTCAATGGAAGTTTTAATTTCCTGGATATTTGTGTGAATCTGTTTCATGGATTTCAGTTCTTTCCTATGTTGTTCATTTAACATTTCCTTTATTTTTCTATACTCGTCTTTTATATCTATCTATCTATCTATCTATATATCCTCTCTCTCTCTTTATATATATATATATATATACATTTATATATATCCTCTTTCGATATGCTGCACAATTCTTTCATTATTGTTTCTAATTCATTTTTTACCTGAAAGATTATTTCTGATCTGATTTCTTCTATGGTCTTATAGAGTTGTTTCTTTACTTCAGTTGCAAGCATTTCAGAGATTTTAGGTGTGTGACTTCTGAATTCGCCTATGTCAGTGTCTCCTGGACTTGTTCTGGTTGGGGTGGAGTTCTGAGATTGCATTTTGGTCTTTTGCCTTGTCATTTTGGATGATGTAGGCAAAGCGCTGGGCAACGCACTGGAAGGTCTTTAAGGCCTCTAGATTTCCTGGTTGTCAGACTTTCCCTAAAATGGCAACAGGAGGTGTGTCACAAGATCTGGGATCCCCAGGTAGTTGATGGAATGCATGGCTCAGATAATAGCCCTAATAGTGATAGAGCACTGGCCTTCAAGACCAGGATCCCCAGGAGGCTGACTGGGGATGCCCAGGCCTTGGGCTGACCCACAATGTCAGTAGAATGTGGGGTACCAGACTGGAGTCATAAGGCAGCTGATGGGGTGTACCTGCCTCTTCCAGGCCTTGGGAACAACCCAGAATCTTGGCAGGACTTAGAGCACCTGTCTCAGTTGCCCAGGCGGATGACTGAATGTGCGTGGGACCTTAAGCATGACTCATAATGTCTGTGGGGCAAGGAACACAGGTCCCAGTTCCTCAGGCAGCTGGATGATGGTGCTCAGGACTAGTGCATGACCCATAATGACCACAGAGTATAGGGTGTCAGTCTGAGTTCCCCCAGTGGCTGGCTTATGGTGCCCTGAACTCAGGCATGACTCCTATTACTTTTCTTCTTTGCTCTAACATATAATTATGAGAGGGATCAAGTTCTCAAAGCTACCAAGAAACTTTAAAAGTAAGTTGAATAAGTTTTTGATGTGAGAGAAGAATCACAATTCCCTGGAAGAAATGTTCTTAGCATATCCTACATAAGCATGTTATAAACATCATTTCAAAACAGCAGTTACAGGGGCTGGGGATTTAGCTCAGCTGCAAAAGCGCCTGCCTGGCAAGCGCAAGGTCGTGAGTTCGGTTCCCGGTACCGGAGAAAAACAAAACAAAACAAAAAAAAAACAGCAGTTACAGTAGTTATCAGATAGTATAGTTTTGTAAGAACTAATTCATTCATGGAAAACAGAAAGCTACCATTAATAAAAACTAGGCCACTAGTAAAAGTTAAAGAAAATATGTGTTTGACAAAAATAGTTGAGAGGGAGGTTTTTTTTCCCCCAACCAAATGTGTAGTAGTCTAAACAAAGATAAAATATTGTAAATCCTTTAGAACTTGGGGAAAGTATGATTAAAATTTCACAAAACTATCTTATCCTCTTTCCCTTGGTTTTTGAAAAAGAGATTTTTTTCAGGATGCATGAATATCAGCCAAACAAAAACAGGAAAGGTAATGGAAATAGCCCAGACTTTCCTAAGCTTAATGATAGAGAAAAAGACTGATAAAATTTATTGTGAAAACAAAGCCAAAACTGAAAACCAAAACTAATCAGGACTCCTTTTTATTTCTCCAAACTACATTTCTTTTCTGATTTAATATCTAGTGAAAACTTACACAGAACAAAATTTTGGCATCTATTTCATAAGGATATTTTGTGAAAAGCCTTGTATGAAATACTTAATTCTTCCACTGAAATAGTGAAGGAAATATTGGACTATCATTAATCATATCAAAGCAGTATATTACTATAAAGCAAAAGGAATGTTCTCATAAAGGCAGCATAAAGGAAATTCTAGAGTGGAAGCCAAATGAATTATTACATGCTTTGAAGAATAAAACATGCAGTAAAGGAGGTTACAGTGAATTTGTTTGAGGTGACCTTAAATAGTAGCCTATACTTCAGATAAAGAGAAATTTTGCTTTTAGGTGTGTGTAGGGTGGGGCAGCAAGGAATAAAACATTCCGAACACAGTCAAGTCTGTTCACATTCTGTTATTAAGGAAGAAGTTCTTTAAGTGAATCTGTTACATATTGTACTAATAGTTTAACTTCTGATAAGTAAAGACCAAAACAACATCTATTTACTTAATCAAATTCAAAAATGAATATGGAAACATTTAAATAAGACCTATACAGTTGCTGTACCTTGCTTATTGCCTTACACAAATAGATAACTAATGTTTATTGAACAAGAATGTAAGAAGAATCACTGATCAAAGTTATATATAGTTTACCCCCCTTTACTCAGCCATCTGACATTAGGATCATCAATTTGTATATTTTCACAAAAATGCACATACTAATATTACTAATTTCTCTCCCTAACTGTGCATTCTAGCACACATTTTGTTTTGTTTTGTTTTGTTTTCTGGTACCAGGAATTGAACTCACAACCTTGAGCTTGCCAGGCAGGCACTGTGCCACTGAGCTAAATCTCCAGCCCCGTCTAACTGTGCATTCTAAATCTTTGTCTTTCAGATACATTACCGAAGGTTCTAGGAAAACAGAAAAGCAAACTGGAGAAATAGGAAGGACTTTTAATGAAGGATTACTTACAAGGTCTGGGCAGGGAAACAGGAAATAAAAATCATGGTTAGTGACAGGGTGAAAGACACTATTCCAGGGTGAAAGTGGCCACTATGGTACCCTAAGAAAGCTTGGCTCAGCCACAGCTGGGAAGGAGGGTCTCCATCAACACCCATGGCCTTCATTAGGGGAGCATGACTCTTGTCAACCCATGAGCCAAACCCAACAGGAAACTTGAGAGAAAAGGATCTTTACTTTAGGAGCACAGCACAGGGCAGGGAAAATGGAAAGTGGAAGAGAAGAGGAGACAAAGAACATTCAGGACACAGAGTTATTCTTAATTTCTTCTTAATGTCACCTCCTCAATAACATTTCACCAGCTAAAACTAGCCAACTAAAGCAATCACCACACATACACTTGCCTCACAACCCACACATTTTATCATGCCACATCATTAAAATTGGCCAAAATCCAACCGTTTTTGATGTGCCACATATTACTAGAAATATCTGGGGGGTTTTATTAAATGATTTAGACTTTCCTGAATAAATATCTAAACACCATAACCATTATCAACAAAATGTGTATTTTTCGTGTAGTAAGTGATAAAACTAAGAAAATTAGACATAAAGCTACATAAAACTGGCTTTTCTGTATTTTCCAGATCTTTAGGACCTCTAACACACTGAAGAACAGGGTAGGTATTTGCCCTGAAAAAAGTCCCTGTTCTCTGCACGGGTAACTGAATTGTTGCCATGTGCTCCTCTATGTGCCTGAAATTCTCTGTCATTATTGGTACTATTTCTTGTCTGCTCCATCCACAGAAATCTGAGTGGGATTCTGCAGAACACCCCTCCTTTCCCAGCATGACTTCTCAATTTCTTCTGCCTTGAGACTTTTCATCAGGCCTGTCCAAATAAGATCTCACCTTCATCAATGACAGTGGAGTCAGTGACAACTTCAGATGGCCCAGAACTCTTCCTGCAGGTGGAGACTCCTGAGTTCCAACACTGTTCTCAGACCTCCTAAGACTGTGCCTGCAAAGGTGCTCATCAGCCAGTGCTGCCCTAGAAGCCAGCTGTTGTCAATGTAAGCATCAAAGAGACATGGAAATTCCTTCCCAGTTGTGAGTAAACAGGATGATAGATTCCAGTTTTGAACAAAACCTAAAAGTTTTGAGGGAATTTGCTATGGGAATAAAAAAATAATTAGACTTCTGTCTAATGGGAATAGACAAGTCTTCAGAATTACAGTAACTTTTAATCTAGAAAGGTTTGACTCCACTTCTTGCTATTTGCCTGCTGACAAATTTCAGACCTTACCTCTCCCTCTTCCTCTTATGCAAACCACAGTGAGCTGATCAGAAAGCCCGGCTGCACTCTACCTTTGCACTGTATGGACTCAAACCATGCAAGCTGTGGCCCATGCCTGGAAATCTCACTCAGGGTCCACCACAAATATTTAAAGCCCAACCAGTCTCCTTTCTTGACTCTCTCAAGCCATTTAGGACCAGCTTGAGAGGACTCTGCTCTCCCTAGAGATCTCAATTTTGGAAGTAATAAAAGTTTTTGCACCATTTTCCTGTATGTGTAGTGTCATCAGTCATCACACATCAACTAAATCTGAAGTGTGCTTTCCTCTCACACTTAGGAGGAACTATACCACAAAGGAAGTCTGCTTCTATTTCACCTTGCAGTTAATGAAAGAACTATACAAGTTGTTGACATTCTACTATTATCCCATTTTCCTAGCAGGTAAAGTAAGGGACCCAATAGAAAGTTAAAATTGCCTAGCAGGGGGCAGAGGGAGGAGACAGAATCCAAAGTTTAAAGAGATTGGAACTAATCATGTTAAAGATCATTTCTCTGCATGCACATTTTAAATCCAGTTTTCCTTTCTGTTCTTGCCAGTTCCTCAAGTGCCTTCAACTCCTGTTCACTATCAGGTCATACTGTGGGCAGAGTGGCCACAAACCAAAGCCTAAAATGTTTTTCAGTGGGAAAAATGAAGTCAGTTTGCCTTGATACATGGATTTGCTTCCATGTGTAGTTGTGGCTGTAGTTAGATGCAAAACTTCACCACTGGGTCTGTAACTCACATACAAAACAACATCTTCCCGGAGGAGATCCCTCCTCTAACTGTACCGGCTCTAACTTCATCAGGATGCCTGTGATTAACGTGACTGGACTTTGCTCAAACCTTTCTTCTCCATGCTCAGTGGCCTTACATAACCCACGTTTTAGTACCAGTTGGGTCTAATAAGGTTGATACTGAACTGAATATATCAAATGCTACATTTTCTCAACTAACAGGATAAACAACTGCACTCATAATTCTATTCACTAAAAACATCTTCGTGTAACTTCATTTCATGTCCAAGTAGCTGGAAAATCTATCTTTAAAGAAAATTGTCATGTAAAGAAATTATGGGCATCATACCAGCACATTTTTTGCTCTTCTTTCATCAATTTTGCAAATAAATGGAAGAAAAGTATCATACCGCATAAAGAAATTAACTAACTTGGGTAAGTGAGTGTATTAGGATAAATATATAAAATGGAAGAGAAAAGAATAACGGCGGTATGATGCAATTCATTCCTTTTAAGTGAAAAAGGGTTATTTTAAAGGATGCCTTTGTTAAATAGCAAGTACGGTAAGCTACACACAACTCGTACTGGGTTCTCACCTCATCACTCTCTCCATAATAAGCCTTCCTTGCAGATTTCTTTTAGATACAAACATTTCCAGTTAGTTTGGCATTACCCCATGGCCCTTGTCTGACCCTCGGAAAAAAGTCCTTATGTACCCATGATTCAAAGACAGCATGGATTCCTGTGGAAAGCCAGACCAGCCTCAAGCAAGTAATAGACTGTTAAGATTTAACAAGAAAATATAAGGGACCCAATAGAAAGTTAAATTGGCTTGGCTGAGAGGAGAGAGGGAGGAGACAGAATCCAAAGTTGAAAGCTGGAAGTAATGATGTTAAAATCAGTTCAACAATCAGATTTAAAAACAGACTTTATTCAAATGATTGGTGAAGCATAATGTAGAAACAGAATAAAAATCCACAATCATGTATTGTACACTGTAAAAATGAAAATGATATAAAATAATTTTGTACCATCTGGCTAATTCACATTCCCCTGTGTTTAGGTTTCATGGAAAGTAATTGATTGTTCATATCACAGAAATGGAATATTTAGTAAAATGAACAAAAGTTCAAAATAAAGTTGCTAATGTCTTCTTGTTGCTTCTTTTTAAAAATGAAGGTGAATCTGTATTTTTGAAGTAAGAAGAAAAATTAATTCAAGGCTATTAAATCAAAATGTTCCTCTTATGGTATACTCTAAGTTAAACAGCTTGCTTTATTTTGATGTAACTTTAAATAGATGTCTAGTTCTTAGTATTTAGTTTAGCATTTCTTGTATTATTTAACTCATTAAATTATAAAATTAATATTCATTAATGTCAGTTAACTATAGCAATGCTCAGAGCAATGCCTCATCTTTTTCAGAAATGTAAAATATATATAACATCTTAAATATTTAATATACTAGGGTACAGTTCACACTTTTGAGAATACAGTTCATCAGGTTTTGCCAAATACGTGTAGCACAAGATCATTATCCTACTGGAGATGCAGAATAATCCCATCACCCCAGATTAAGACAAAAGCTCAGTATCTTGCTTTGTTTACTTTGTCTCTGAATAATAGAATAGCTTTAATCGTAGTATTCATCAATTAAAATCAAGTATGATTATTAGACTCAACTGTCATGTTCGTCACTATAAGGAGCATGTATTCCTACTCACTGGTGCTCTCTCTCCCACCTCTTCTAATTTTTTTAAACCTTACCCCAAATATATATCCTTTCCTACTTCTTTTCCAATATAAATCAGGACACTTTTAATTTTGTTTTTCTTTTCTTTATATAGACAGCAACTCTTCTGATTTGTATTAACAGAAAAAATATCTCTCCAAAATGACATTACCTCATAAAGAAGAATGTAGCACTACATTAGTTTTTCAAGATTGGATAAAGCCTGTTAGGCTAAATTTGGACATCAGCAGTTTTAAAACCCAAATCTGATGCATCTGGCACTCTTTATTGTCTTAGAGGTTACATCAGTGGATGTTTAAAATCTTTCTCCTGGCACAAAAAGTCTCCAGTGAGGCTTTTATATGATTTGCTAAGAAATGCTTGGTTTTAGAAGTCATTCCTTTCAGTCCACAGGGATGTCTGTCTGCTAAAGTAACTCTGCCCTCATGCTACCTGTTAGATGACTTGGGAAAATCTTCTTTACAGAAGCAATATGTAAATTTAAAAAGACGGTTCAAAAACCTTTCTTACTTTGTACATGAAAAGAACTCAAACTCCTTCAGTTTTGGTAGCTGATAACTACTTCTGTTTTCTGTTTTGTTCTTTGTGGTTTTTTAGTACAGCCTTTAAAGTTAGAGATTGGGGAGGTAAGTGGAGATAGCCATTCTAAAGGTAATAAACCATTGCTTTACCACAGCTATTTTTAGGGTGGTGCTCTTTCAGGGAAGTTGTTATTAGTGAATTGATGAAGTTTCAATTCAGGTGAGCTCCCTGTGCATCTAGCACAGCTAGAACAGGGGCTACCTATAACTCTGCACTGTGGGTTGGGATGCTTGAATCTGAAAAGTCCCATAGAACTGGATCAGCCACTCAGGTGGTTTGATCTACATCCATGTTCCACATCTTATCCATTTTTACATGGAATATGTATATTAAAAGTAGAATCATTTACGTCAGTTACTGTTAATACTTTTTACTGTGAGTGCCAACTCATTTTGCAGTAACTCAAGCACCAGTCTTCCTACTCTAAGCTAATATTCTGCAAAATGCAAAGGTTAGCTGGCTCATTTCCTTTTAATTTTTCAGCCCTACCAAGATATTCTTGGACACATTCTCCAGTTATTTTAGCTTCTATTAAGACTTTATAAAACTTTAATCATTCTTTACCCTTACCAGGTTCCAAGAAATACCTAAATACTCCTTTAAAAAACTTTATACCAACAGTTCTCAGCATTTAGGTGTCTCTGAATTATCAGGAGAGTGCACTAGAATATAGATTTTGAGGATCCTATCTCCAAATGTTATCACTGACTTTGAGATATGGCCCAAGATTTGGTGTTTCTAAGAATTTACAAGTAATTATTTTTGTAAACCACTATGGTCATTCCAGGTACTATCCTTTAAGAAGCATAGATTGATCTGATTTTTTTCTGAAAATATTTTAGACCAATTAGGGGTATAATGAATACCCATTTTCTTTACTTTTCCCTTTTTTCTCCAACACAAAATGGAAATTCACTACTCAGTATACTTGCTTTCTGACAGTTTTTTTGTACAATTTGGGTGTGCCAAATACCACATTCTGACACTCAGTTTTATCACCTTCCCTCCAAATTGTCTTCTAGATGGCGCAGCCCAAAAGCCCATACAAATTTGGCAGACAGATTTTATTTAACCATGAGACATGCTGCTAAAATACTTTAGCTACCTATCAACAGATGAATGAATAAAGAAACTATAGTATGTATGCATATATACACAATATAATATGATTCCACCATAAATGTCATTTGTAGAAAAAAATGGATGAAATATGAGAGCACCATGCTCAGTAAAATAAGTCAGACATGGAAAGTTAAATGTCACCTTGTTTTTCTTATGTGAGACACCCAAAATATAAATAAACAAATGAATAAAAGGACAGATGATAAAATACTAGAAGGCAAATGTTTGGAGTTAATGGAGGGGATCTGCGTGGTGGGGGGGGTTGTTTGAAAATGACTGGGATACATTATATGCATGCACCAGTTCCCTAAGATGAATACTACTACTCTGTATTGCGAACATGCACTCATTTTCAAAAAAAAACAAGCAAATGACAAGAATATATCATTATTTTCTGATGGTTCTTATGGAAAAGCATATTGGCACTGAGAGATGGCAGATGTGAAGTTTCGCCCTCAGTGTCAATGACCCTTATTATAGGTACTTTGGTAAAGAGGCAGCCACACTGTTAGTACTGACCTCTTTGTGATGCTTGAAATTCCAAAGGTAGAGAAGGCAGCCTTCCCCACCTTCGCTTTCCCAGGAGTTCTAAGCTTTGAATTTTTGCTGCTAATCCTGTTTTCAACTAGTTTATGGTACAGTTCTCAGGTAATTGCTGCTTTACTGAGCAAAACAGGAGTGAAACACAAAGTGCTGCGTGTAGGGCACTAGCGGAGAACCCAGAATGCATGTTATTTGGTTTTCTTTTAAGACAAAAGATGTTACTTTATGAGTTGTTTTCCTCTAAACTAAAATGTCAGTATTCAAGTTTAACTGCAGTATTGATACTTTGAGATAAATAGGTGGCTTTGGGGTTGCAGATTGGGCACTCGGTCTCTAAAAATTCACCATGACTGGTCTAGGAGAAATGAAATTTTAAGACAGGTAACGCTAAATGCAGCTTTTAAAAAATATAAAATGAGACTTTATCATTTTTCTCCTTCACAAAAGGAAAAGCAGACTTATCCTTATGATGAAATTCTTTTGTTCCTTGAAGAACCACTTGCCTGACTCCAGAATGGAGGGTTAATATTGCCTGTAGAAAAAAAATTGTAGTGTGCCTTACTCTGTAGAAAATTTCAAAAGCAAAAATGAAATAAAATGTAGGACTCTTCTGTGGTTAAGCACAATTGAGAAATGATTAC